TCACTGGAGAGAGGCTATGAAACCCAGGTATTTCTCAGTTGTCACTGTACTTTCAAATGTTCAACTTTTTGGCCTTCTTCTGATACTTATTTTTTTTCCTGCTTCATAATTCTTTTAGGTGGGCAGGGCTGGTCTAGCTTTGACGGAAGAGCAAAAAATTAAACTCTCTGTTGCTAGGGCTGTTCTTTCAAATCCTTCTATCCTTCTTCTTGATGAGGTAACTGGTGGACTTGATTTTGAAGCTGAAAGATCTGTTCAGGGAGCTCTGGATCTCCTCATGTTGGGCAGATCAACTATAATAATAGCAAGACGACTTAGTCTTATCAGGAATGCTGATTACATTGCCGTGATGGAGGAAGGCCAATTAGTAGAAATGGGAACGCATGATGAACTGATAGCATTAGGTGGCCTCTATGCGGAGCTCCTTAAATGCGAAGAAGCAGCAAAACTCCCTCGCAGGTGCAATACATGAGTCGACTGAGCAGTTAGATGATTAGTTTGTTATAAATGATTGTTATGCCTATAGGGCATTGCATTAAAGGTTCTTTTGATAATATACAAGTCCCCCTTTTTATCCTCAAAAATATTTCTTGGTAGTTTGTTTTCTGGTTTTAGATTATTGCACATACTTAGTTACATGCCTTTGCTACCATCATTCAGGATGCCAATGAGAAACCACAAGGAGACTGCAGTGTTCCAAGTTGAAAAAGATTCTTCAGCTAGTCATAGCTTCCAAGAACCTTCTTCACCCAAGATGATGAAATCACCATCTCTTCAAAGGGTTTCTGGTGCCCATGCTTTTTGGGCAGCAGATGTTACATTTAGCTCTCAAGAATCTCCCCACAACCGTAGCCCGCCACCGGAGCAAATGGTTGAGAATGGTATGGCCTTGGATTCTGCTGACAAAGAACCATCAATAAGAAGGCAGGATAGCTTTGAAATGAGACTGCCCAAGCTTCCTAAGATTGATGTTCAATCTGCAAATAGGAAAATGTCCAATAATTCTGATCCCGAATCACCGGTCTCACCACTGTTGACATCTGATCCCAAAAATGAGCGTTCTCACTCACAAACTTTTAGTCGTCCAAACAGTGAATTTGATGACTTTCCTATTACATCCAAAGAAGCAAAGAATACAGAGAGTCGAGAACCACCATCCTTCTGGAGACTCGTTGAGCTTAGCCTTGCAGAATGGCTTTATGCTCTACTAGGGAGCACGGGTGCTGCAATATTTGGTTCCTTTAATCCCCTTCTGGCGTACGTCATTTCACTGATTGTAACAGCATATTACAGAACAGACGAAAGGCATCACTTGCGTCGAGATGTTGACAGGTGGTGCCTCATCATAGCCTGTATGGGTGTAGTGACTGTTTTTGCCAATTTTCTGCAGCACTTCTATTTTGGTATAATGGGAGAGAAAATGACCGAGCGAGTTCGTAGAATGATGTTTTCTGGTAAGGAGTGGTTTCAAGTAGTAACTGTTCCTTTCCTAGTCTGTTTTGTTTCTTTTGCACAGTGTAAATACATGTTCTATAAATTTTATTACTTGATAAAAATTAAGTGTAAGTACATGTTATGATAGTTAGTGATCTCATGAATGCTGATGCTTTTTTCTGTTGTTCTCATTCTTCAACAGCAATGCTTCGCAATGAAGTCGGGTGGTTTGATGAGGAGGAGAATAGTGCTGATAATCTATCTATGCGCTTGGCAAATGATGCTACATTTGTCCGTGCTGCTTTCAGCAATCGGCTGTCCATATTCATACAAGATACTGCAGCTGTTATTGTGGCTGTTCTTATTGGGATGCTACTTCAGTGGCGGTTGGCACTTGTGGCATTAGCTACTCTTCCTGTTCTTACTGTGTCTGCTGTTGCGCAGGTTTGTTTAGGATGTAGAGTGTCACGACTTAGTCACTTACTCATAAAGCAGAAAACATCATATTTCATATTTTTATAGCAATCTTATCTTAAAACATCCTGATTGACTTCCCTGGACCTCTGACACTACTCGCGAGTCGCGAGGGATGTGACTAATCTATTTTAGAGAAACCAGATTGTCCCTTTGTCATCTTCTTTCCTATCTCCATAAAAACAATAAAAATGGTATTGTAGAATTCCGATCCTGCAAAAAGCTAGTTGAAAAAGCAGAATCTAGTTAATGGCATTCAATTTTTCAATTTATCATCTCTTCGTGTTCTAGTGTTTAAGCACTAATCAATACTCATAGTCCTTGCTTACCCGGCCTCTCACATGGATCTCAACTTTATATGCAGAAATTGTGGCTTGCTGGGTTGTCAAAGGGTATTCAGGAGATGCATAGGAAGGCATCGTTAGTCCTCAAGGATGCAGTTAGAAATATCTATACAGTTGTAGCATTCTGTGCTGGTAATAAGGTAATGGAGCTCTACAGGTTTCAACTGCAGAAAATATTTAAGAAAAGCTTCCTCCATGGTGTGGCAATTGGTTTTGGTTTTGGCTTTTCCCAGTTTCTTCTTTTTGGTTGCAATGCTCTTCTCTTATGGTATACTGCACTCTCTGTAAAGAATAATCATGTGAATGTAACTACAGCACTCAAGGAGTACATGGTGTTCTCCTTTGCAACTTTCGCACTTGTTGAGCCTTTTGGCTTGGCTCCATATATTCTCAAAAGAAGAAAATCTCTGAAATCAGTGTTCGAGATAATCGATAGAGCACCAAAGATTGATCCAGATGACAATTCAGCCTTAAAACCTCCAAATGTCTACGGAAGCATTGAGTTGAAAAACGTTGACTTCTCATATCCATCTCGTCCTGAAGTCTTGGTATTGAGCAATTTCACTCTCAAAGTCAACGGAGGGCAAACTGTAGCCGTGGTAGGTGTTTCTGGCTCGGGAAAGAGCACGATTATATCTCTGATAGAGAGGTTTTATGACCCTGTAGCTGGTCAGGTTTTACTTGATGGCCGTGATTTAAAGTCATACAACTTGAGATGGTTGAGGAACCATTTAGGTCTTGTTCAGCAGGAACCAATTATCTTCTCAACCACCATTAGGGAAAACATAATCTACGCAAGGCACAATGCTAGTGAAGCTGAGATGAAAGAAGCAGCTAGAATAGCAAATGCTCATCATTTCATAAGCAGTTTGCCTCATGGTTATGACACACATGTTGGGATGAGGGGGGTAGATCTGACTCCTGGACAGAAGCAAAGAATTGCAATAGCTCGTGTTGTTTTGAAGAATGCACCTATTCTATTATTGGATGAAGCCAGCTCCTCTATTGAATCTGAGTCGAGCCGAGTGATACAGGAGGCTCTTGATACTCTGATCATGGGGAACAAGACAACCATTTTAATTGCCCACCGAGCTGCCATGATGAGACATGTTGACAACATAGTTGTACTTAATGGAGGGAAGATTGTTGAGGAAGGTACCCATGATACGTTGATGGCAAAAAATGGTTTGTATGTCCGCCTGATGCAACCTCACTTTGGTAAGGGATTACGTCAGCATAGACTTGTTTAAATGATGCGACTGAAGATACTATCCATCTTCCATGAAGCTGGGAGTAGTAGCAGAGTCCAGTCTCCAAATCCCTTGTGTAAGATGCTCTGCTTCAACTTGGAAAGATCAAACCAAGAAAGAATGACGAGAATTTCTAATAACATTGTTTGCCATTATCACCTTTGTGCAGTGAAATTTCGGGGGTAATTAGACTGATGCATTATTCAAATTGGTATTGACGATGGGCGTTTGTAGCATTTTCTTAGCTCAGGAGGGTAGGATGTCAGGACTAGAACCATATTCTTTTGGAGGCAGGGTTCGGTAGATCAGGATTATGCTCCGTCTCCTGATGATGGTATATTGATTTGTTAATTATAGTGGAATGAGTAGCCATAGCTTTGATCAGGTGGAGGTTACATCAATCTTCTGTATTCTTTTCTTTTGGGGTTGTGTTCTGTGTGCTGTAGTCTTCATTTTTCCCTATCAAAACTACCCTCTTTTCTGCTGTATATTTTTCTTACATGGAAGCTATAGAAAGCCGGGAAAGAATTGCAAAGGAATATAATGTAACATTTTGTATATATAGAGTAGAGATGATTTATGATTTCTGCTTCATTTTCTGCCTGTATATTGCTTACCAATTTGGTTCTCAAGTACTTCGGAGTATATGGTTGGATTAATTACTGTTGATGCACGTAGGTGTTTGAGAGTTTCTTTCGTCTTTGATTGTCTTATCATATTGCCTTGCTGATTTTATTGTTTGTGTTATTGCTTCCTTTTGCATCTTCCCTCGAGTCGATGGTCAATCCGAAACAACCTCTCTACCTTCACAAGGTAGGGATAAGGTCTGCGTATACAATACCCTCATACTCTACTTGTGGGGTTTTTCTGGATTTTTTGTTGTTGCATGAGGTGTTTAAGAAAATCACCGATGGGAAAAGTGAATGAGTTTTAACTTTTATAATACAATACAATACATTATAAAACGATGGGTAATAACCATCCAAACAAGCTGTAAAAGTTTTGTTAGGATGGCGATTAAGATTTGAACCATGCTATAATACCATGTTAAATCTTGTGAGAATCTCGATCTTTAGAGGTTAATTTGTTAGCCAGAGAAAATATATTTTTACTTAATTATATTCTACATATATCCTCATTCAAAGGCTCCTTCTAGCTCATTCTTATTCTGCCACTGAAGTTATGTTACTTGATCATTTTAAGTATGCCATCTTCTGTCTTCTTGTCCTGATGTGCTTCGGGTAAAGCTTGATAAGGGTCAAATTAGGGAAATTGAATACGTACAACATCGAACACTTGTTGGTTATCGTAGATTCAAAATACTTGAGATTTTTCCAATCTTAGGAAAAATAATATTCAGATTCTATGGAAAGAGCTAAGTGAACTACGATAAGCCAGAGAGATTTTTGGTGAATGGAGATAGTGAAGAGGTTGATATAATAAGGAGTAGAGAGATTAAGATGATGCCATTTGGTGTTGGGAGGAGGATATGTCCAGGCTATGGCTTCGCTCTACTCCATTTACAGTATTTTGTAGCTAATTTGATTTGGCATTTTAAATGGAAACCTGTGGTCTGTGGATGGAGACAATGTTCATCTAACAGAAAAATTAGATACTGAAAACTCGCATTAGTCCTAGATAGGTGCTGATCTTTGGTTTGAACAACGAAATAACTACAGTGCAACTTGCGGTTGAATGAGAAAATGGCTATCCTTGTGTTCATTTGGTTAATTGTTCTGTTTTTCCGTAATGACATGAAACTTATAGAAACTAAAATTCTCCTTGTATAAGCATGATGCATACTCAATTAACAGATATTGTCAATTCTGAACTACTTTAGAACAAAATTAATAGGGATTCTTTATATTGCTAGTCACATAGTTTGTTTAAGATTTCTATGTAGTTAAAGTCAATATATATATATATATGACTTTGGTAAAGTGTGATTTATAGGAAAATATACATACATGGTACAACAAGAATTCTTTGGTTCCTCCCATACCTTTGCGTCCAAACCCATTTCTCTCACCATGAAATGGATACTAGCATTCTTTGGTATAACGTAGCCGTTCAATTCCATTTCCTCACTCACCCTATGTGGTAACAAAAAGAGAGATGGTGTCTGCCTCCTAAGACCTTCCAAAATCACAGCTTTTAAGTATGACATTTTCTGTAAATGCTCCTCTTTTATCAACTTATTATTGTTATTTTCTCCCTTTGATTCTGGTGCTCCTACAATTTCACATATTTCCTTATATAGCTTTTCTTGAATGGAAGGATACTTGACCAAATAGGCCATAATCCATTGCAAGGAGGTGAACGTTGTATCGCTGGCTGCACCAAGGAACTCACCGCAGAGACTGGCCATCTCTTCATAAGTGAGCTTCCTCTTTTCCTCTGGCAATTCCAAATTTACCAACGTATCGACATAAGCTACATTTTCCTCTTCTTTTTTATCTACTCCAGCCTTAGTTTTTTCTTCTATGTATTTTACTCGAACTTGTATTAGAGGTATAAACATACTCTCGGTCTCCTTTCGAAATGTAGTAAGCTCTTTCCAAAGATTTCTGAAAATTACTTTTCCAACTCTTGGAAAAACATCAAGTATTTTAAATTGAATCGTAGCTAAAAGTGCTTGATGTTGTAAACCTTTAATTTGATTAATTTGAACCTCGTCGAGCTTGACCCCGAAGACCATGTATACAAGAAGACAGAAGATGACATGCTTAAACTGATCAACTAACACAACTTCCATTGCATAATTAGATTTATCATATAGACGTTGAATAAGGATATTTAGTGCCCAAGCTCGGGACTTAGACCGGGACATGACTAAGGTGGGATGTAACATTTCGGATCTGAGGTTTCGACGGAGGAGCCGCCATGTGGGACCACACGACGCGGTGCTTATAGACCGGTCACGGCTAAATAAGACTTCATTGGTGAGCCAACCAATTGGACGGTCAGAGCAAAGAGCACCTTGTTGAACTAAAGCTTGGTAGGCTAAAGAATGGTTGCTAATGAATATGGAAAATGAAGTACCTATTCTGAGTGTAATTATAGGACCATATTTTGACTTTAATTTTTGAAGGATAAGTTCAATATCAGCTAAGGATTTATTTCTCAGCAATGGTAAGCTTCCAATTACTGGAAAAGTAAAGGGACCTGGTGAGAGTTTCTTCTTGTTTTTGGAATTGGAGAAGAAAATATTAAAGAGAAATATGAGGCAGAAAGAGATACATATATACAGTAATGATAATGTATATATGCATGTTGATTCTGTCCTATATTTTAATTTGGTGACATCTATNTGATGATAACGAAATAATGATAAGTTATGGACTTGTTCGTTAAAATGCATGTCATGTTCTGTAAATGGATCCAAAACTTATCCTCACAGCCAAACATTCTGAGATTTTTCTTAAATGTTTTATTTTTTCCAATCAGTTACCTATATCTTTCACTTAGTTGTACACCCGATGTTTAAATCAAAATATTGAATACATAGCACATGTATTTATGACTTTACGTCAATTAGTTCGATTTTGAATAAATACCAAGTACAGATAAAAAAGAACTAAACGTAACGTACATAAACTAATAAATAGAGATAGAAAATCTTCCTTGAGCGACAAGCATGTAACCTGCATTGACTCACTGCTGGTTACTACATAGAACGTAAAGATAGTAACTAGTTCATTATCATAAATTAAACTTTTCTGATAGTGTAAAAAAATATTTTATAATGTCGGTATTGTACTTTCGTTTGAGTTTTGGTACGTAGGTTCATGTGCAGGTGCGCCGGTCGGTCCTAAAACGGCGACAGCGGCGAGGAGTTAATGATCGGTTGCGCTAAAAGCAAAGGCTGAGTTATTGCCACGTACGTCTGTTGTATGACAGTATTATTTGGCTGCATTTCTTTACAAAAAAAGGATATGGTTGTAGCCAGGGACTATAATTGCAAAGCTCCTGGTTTGCTGGGACATATTTTATAAATTCCAACTTCAAAGCTATAGCAGTAGAGACGTGCTGCTGCTCAACACCATCTGTTTTAAAATTAAAAAGAATGTAGATTTGGCATCTTGGTCGATCAATACATTCCTGATTGACATAATGACATTAAACATATAAACTGAGCTGGTCGGTTATAGCAGGTTGGCTAGGTTTACAATCTTTAAATTGTTCACAAGTCTTGCCGAATTGGCAAAATATACTTATATTGTTTAATTGTTCAAAAAGCTTATCGTCGGAGTGGCGAAACTTATTATTATTTTCATTTTATCCATCTTATTAAGTGATTTAAAAGTTTTGATGAATTTGTAAGATTTGTATGTATTGTTCAACTGTTCACATGTGAACTGATAAGATTTGATATTATCTTTATTTTACCTATCTTGTTAAATTGTTTACAAGTCTTGACAAATTAACGAGATTGGACGACACTATTTTCATTTAGCATAAATTATTCTTGAACTTTATAGAAGATCAATAGAGGAGTTAGATTTTACCCCTAGAATGAATCGATGACTGCGAACTTGCATCAAGCGGAGTCGGAGCCAGAATTTTAACTTTATAGGTTATGAATTTTAGAATAATAATTTTAAGAGCTACTAATTGGGTTCTAAATTTAATATTTATTTATATTTAATGAATTTCTTAACACAAAAATACTATTTAAGCAAAAGCTAATGAGTTCAGGTGAATCCGCATTCAGACTTCTAGCTCCACCACTGTGCATCAGTCCCACATTTTGTACTAGGAGCATATAGAAGAACTATTGTTTGACCAAAAAATATAGATCTTGGTTCAACTAATTAAATTTATACAAATGAGGGTTAATCTTAGTTAATAAGAATATTCCAAAGACGAAATTTCGGATAGTGTGATAAATAATACGTAGATCTCTTCCAAAAGCAATGAAGGTACACAATGGACAATATTTTAGAACCCAAATAGAAATAATGTAGCACTAAATAGTGAGGAATAGCAATAAATGATATTTATGTAAATAGAACGAATGAGTCACCCGAAAAATGATGAAATCAACGGATGTTCTTTCTGACAATGATGAATGATGGACAAGCCTTTGAATATCCGAGTTATCCCCGGATCTGGTGGAAAAGTGTGGACAAGAATCTTTGTAAAAAGGTTATTTTGTAGGCTTATCATAAGACCCGATTTTCTCTTTAAAGTCAAAATATCTTTTTACAAATAAATCTCATATGTCCCCGATCACTATGTCTCTTTTTCTTTCTAGGGAACATGTTCCTAAAATCTTTAATAGTACAAATGCAGAGAATATCCACTAGAATATTCTCTTTAATGTCCTATCTTGAAACTAGCCGTTATAACTCTTTCAAGGGTGCTCGACCTCGGTCTCGATCTTTGGCAACTCCTCGACTTCAGTCTTTGCTGACTCTTCGACCACGACCTTCGTTTTTAATTAGATTACTTCGACATGTGGCGGCCTAGGAATATTTTACTAATACCATTTCAATTAGAGATAGATTTTTGACTCATACAGTTAGTCCCTCCGCTTATTGAGGCTGACTTCGCGGGCGGGTTCGATGAGCGGATCATGTTATTAGTGGTCGAGCTAACCACACGGACTGCACGGGTCATGTTTGTTGCGGCGAGCAGGCGACGTGGACCTCTATAGGCTGCGCGTTTCAAATGCCTTGAATTTCTGGGGCGATTTGTTGGAGTTATGTTGTCCATGGGTTTGGATGATGTCATGATGTCATGCGTCATAATGACGCATATTCCCGATGTGTCGCTCTGTTTCGCGTGTGACCTTTGATTAGATTTGCCGCTTCGGTTCCGGTGCCAATCATGATAAACTATTTTTTGGGTTTTGGTGCCATGACCTTTATAAATAGAGATATTTGAACTTGATTTTGAAGTTTAAACTTTCCAACGTTTTGAAGCACCATACCCTTCTGTTGCTCTTCTTCTTCTCCGAACTTTTTTCTGCTTCGGTGACTGATGTGTGGCTATAATTCCATATTTTAGTACAATATTTACCTTGCATTTTGTATGCTTTAATGATAAACTATACTTTATTTACGCGTAATGGAGTCTATTTTATGTGTATGTGAATTGGAGATGAAAGTATAGCAAAAGGAATAATTAAAGTCAAAAGCGTGCTCGAAAACAGTTGAAAAGAAGAAAGAAAGAAGTGAGCAGCGGATAAATGGGAAAGCTGACGAAGCAAGCTTAATAGCTCGCGTGGGAGCTGGCTTGGCGAGCCTTTTAGCTCGCATGGGAGCAGGCTAGGCGAGGCAGGAGGCGAGGTCCACCTCGCGTTAAGGCTTGCAATGCCAGGTCTGGGGCGAGGTCCTGCTCGCGTGAAGCCTCGTGAGGCGAGGTCTGAGGCGTGCACACTCCAAACTTTGACGGCTTATTTCGTCTCCTGGTTTGACTAGGACTTGGTCTATGTCATTTAGGTCTTTTCCTACACATATAAATAGACATAAAATACCATTTTAAAGGAGTTTTGCAACCAGAGGCAAGGATAGCTCGTGAAACTACCGTTGGGAGTTAGAATTATTGATTTCTACATCCTTTCATCTTTACTTTGTAATTTAATTATGCAAAACATCTGAGATATTGTTACTATGAGTATGAGTAGCTAAACTCCTAATCTAGGGTTTTGATGGAACCTATTGGAGGATGATTTTCCTGTTACGTTAATATAGATTTGCCGTAGTATTTTCTCTATTTGTTCAACTATATTAATATTGTTGTTGATTGAAGGGCCCTCAATCGACTGTGCCTATTTAGTGTGTATTACTCGGGAAAGAGTGCATATTTATGTAATTATTAAACAACATCACTCCTAACGTATATGAGGGATCAATAGGGAGGGTTTAAAGATGTGATTAGAGATAACGAAACCTTGGTGCGATCCGAGTGAGCCGTATTTAATGCCAGCTAGCGTAATTCGAGAGAATATGTCTAGTAAATTGTGGTAGTTACTCGGGAGAGAATTACAACACTCAGAGCGTTCATGATCGGTAGAGAAGACTTAGGCAAATTTATAGAAAACGTAGCGGAAAGGATTCGGACAATATGGGAAATCATAACCTTAAATCATTCTAATTCTTGTCTACAACCCGTTCGTAGTTAGTTATTAATTATTGAATTTTCATTACGTGATATTTAGTTAGTAAACATCAAATTTATTACTTAAATATTTCTGAAGATTGATTGCATGAATTTGTGCGAGTCTAGTAGCTGTGTTTAATAGGTTAATTCCCTGTGGGATTCGACTCCATACTTATTAACCGGAATATATTTGCAACGACTGCTAAGTCCTTTTTACAAGGCATAGTTGGGCATGATTAAATTTTGGCGCCATTAACGGTGTTATTAATTGCAGCTAAAAGAATTGCTAGAATTCTTAGTGTAGTCAATTTTCTTCATTTTAAACCAAATACATTGAAATTCTAACGTTTGTAGTATTGGGTGCTACAGATGCACGCCTAGAAACTCCTTATGAACTAGTGAATTGTTCGAAGCATTATCAGATCCTGAGAAAGTTTTCAAGGCACTGAATCGTGTAAACAAGAAGGGCAAACAACAACAGAACAAATCGAACCAGACATAGATGATGGAGTTGAAAATCCAAACAACAGAAACAATGAGAATGACCCAAACAATCAAGGTGTGGTGCCTCTTGTGCCAGAAGCAGCATTGTATGACTGGGCACAAACCACCGCCGAAAATATGGCAACCGCAATTGCAGTCCCTCAGATACAAGCGGAATCATTTCAAATCACAAACAACATGCTACATTTGTTGCAGAACAAGGGACTGTTCTCAGGGTCA